TTCATCCTTGCTGTCCAAACACTCATTGTGCCCAGACTGCTAGATCTGCAGAGACAAGAGATAGGCATGAATTTTTGGATGTGTCTAAACACAGGCTAGAAGAACACACCAACAGTTCTCTAATGTCTTGGATTTTCCTAGAGTCACCTAATTACTTCAAGGATTTCTCAGAAATACCTGGAGTTTCCCAGACAGACTGGCCTTTTAGAAGCTGCACTGCGACTCCATCACAAGCCCATTAATTCCACCCTGCATGAAGTCATGTTGTCCAGAGAGTGATAACATGCTGAAGAGATAAACCTGTTCAGCAGAGCCTTGCCTTCAACTTGCACACACAATAGTGCAGTAATGCTGAAAGCCCTCAGAAAAACACATGTACATTGAAGACAGGATTTTCTTTTTCCTGTTTCTTTTTCCTCCAGGGAAAACAAAATGAACTTTAATATTGGGTGTCAGAGCACAGGAGAAAGCAATAATCCTAAAACCACAGCATCAGCAGGAGGCACATGTATGGCTCAGGAAACCTAGCAGAGGAATAAAAATCAAGAGCTTTATCCAGACTGGCGATGATAGTTGCCCTAGCATACAAGAGCAGCTCCTTTACTGATACCAGAAAGAGCCAGAGTCTGTCAGGCCAGCACTGGAACTCACTAAATATGATCCCAAACTCATTGATGACTAAGATGCCTACTAAGTTTGCTATCTGAGAGGGACACTGTGGTATATATGAGATGGATGGTCAGTCTTACAGGGTGCTGATCCTTAGGTGCCAGCAAGTTCTCTGAAGATGGACTATCCTCTGCAGTGTATACCATTCCCATCAGGATGACAAGGGATCACACTAGGGCAGCAGAGAAAGGGAATCAGAACTCACCAGCTTAATTGGAATAAAGCACCACAAAAAGCACTTGATCTCCCATCTCCTGACTGTTTTTTCTGGAACAAAAAATTCAACAGACATGTAATAAACTGAAATTTGAAGACCTGTGTTTGTACAGGAGGTGAAACCTGATAATCAGATGTCCTCTTCTGGCTTTACAAATCTGGATGATCTGTAGGAGATCTGTGCAGAAGGCTGACACTCTTAACAAATGCCAGAACTATTCTGTGCTTTACAAAAAGAAATGTCCACCCCTAAGCCTAGGGAATGCCTACACTCCTCAGACAGAAACAGCCTCAGCAACACTCAGTAAAGAAGGGACAGTGTGGGTGGGGAAAGCAAGGAAGAAAAGTAATTCCACCACAGCCTTATAATGGCTGCATCAAAAAAGCAGGTTGAAAGACACGTTGAAGGGCAAGTGGAATGTCCCTACCCAAAGATAAAATCAGATCAACTCAACAGATATGCTCCAAATTACCTGGCAATGAAGACTCCATGCCCTCTTTGCACAAATCCATCCCAGTGTTTCACTGTTCTTGGTGCTTAGACCATCTTTCCCTTTTTCCAATCTTTGGATAATCTATCATGGGCAGGGACAAGAGGTGATCCCACACTACAGTGTAACTCTCCTTCTGTATTGGAAGACCACTACAATCCAAGGAAATTCCACAAAATCCAGAAATTTGCTTTGAAAGTTACTAACTTTGGTACACCAAAAATAAAAATAAGCAAGTAACCCTATCATGGAAACAAGCAGCTGTGTTTAGAGGCATTCATGCAAGAGGAGACAGGGTGAGTGGCCAGGGGTGTGGAAGAACAAAGAAGCTTCTCTGGCCATTGCCAGTATTAATGAAAGACCAATCCTAGGAGTTTGCTCCAGCAGTTTTAGAAACAATAATAACAGTCCACCCCCTCCTAACATGCTAAATCTGATCCTTGCTAATGTGAATTAATACCAGGTTTCAGTGCAGCCACTGGGGTAATGTGATACTCTGGAGTGCTGTAATCCTAAACAGAGCATTAGGAGAGCAGCTCACGCCACAGCTGTGGCTCCTTGCAGGTGTTTATTCCCCAAGCAGCCCCTTCAGCAGCAAGTTTCTGACTGCATGAGAGGCATGGGGGAAACTCTGTCATGGTTGGACAAGAAGTTTCTCTGGAATAAACATGCTGGTCCAGTGCTGGCAGTACCAGGAGAGCTGGGAAGGGGGAACTCTAAAGTGCAATGGTTTTCTGTTTAACTGTGCACAAAAGGAGAGAGAAGCAGGTGAATGAACGAAATAGATACCTCTGAGTGACCCCCTTCCCCTGGGAACTGGGCACACAGTGCCTGTGCACACATGTGCTCTTTGTTCCTGTGAGTGTTGTTCCTACTGCCCCTGTCCCTGTCCCACCACTCCCCCTTATCCTCCCCCTGCAACCAGCCCTAGCTCACACATTTAATCAACAATCCCCACTATTCATTTTCAGCAGCACCAAAGGGAAACAGAAGTCTCCCAAGCAAATTTCTGCCTCCTTTGGGACTGCCCTGCTTTCCCTCCACCCATCCTTCAGCACCCTCCTCCCCCAAGCCTCGCACTGTGCCTGTCTGCAGCCACAACTCGATATTGGGTTTCAGCAGGCCTCCAGCTGACCCGGTGCGTTCATCCTGTAAAAATACTGCTGTGCTGTTCATCTCTCTGGTTACTCCTGCCTCCTAACAGGTGGGGCAGGCAGCTCAAAGGGGGAGGGCAGGATGGGAGAGCTGCCTTTTAGCTATATGCCCTCCTCCTCGGGAAACAAAAAGCCCCATTTGTTTACTCCCCCAGCTAAGTCCCCATGGTCTTCGGGTTTTCAGAAAAGAGCTTTGTGTAAGTCTGTTTTTTAAAGTTCAAAACCGCTGGAGTCAATGGATGGACATGAACAGCACTTGCCTAGCTGAATTTCCAGCACAACCTCTTTCTGTTTAGATGCAGGCCTCCATCAAATTCCCAGCTGACTTATGTGATCCTCTCATCGCTGCAGGAACAGGTCGGAAATTTAATTAATCTCAACAAATTCAGTGCTTCCTGATTGTCTCTTGGGCCAAGAGCTGCCCTTTCTGGCTGCTGGCTCTTGAGCTTTCAGTCTTGGTTGCTCTTAGAGAGTAGAGAAAGACGATGGAAACAACTACCAAATATCAAAACATTTTGAGTTCCAGATACTTCTATTTAACTCAGAGTAGTGGGTCAAGTTTTAACAGTTTGCAACACGGGTGTGTTTAGATCTTAACTCATTGGCTTGTTCCATTTCTGCGTGATACAGCCCAGGAGTATTGTTTGAAAGTGCAGAAGTGTTTCCTCTTGCTCTTGATAGCAACTTTACATTTCTTTAGAAATCAGGGAGTCATGAACCACTTGGTGGCCGAGATTTATCTAGGTAAATAAGGAAAAGCATAAATAGTTTCTACATAAAACAGGAGGGATTTAAATGTACAAAGCCCATAGAAATTCTCAAAGAAACAAAAATGGAGAAACTCCAGGGATGAAAAATGGCCACAATCTTTCTAAAAGCAGTTAGCAGCCAAATAATTAATTATAAAGTTACATAGGAGGACAGCTGAAGAAAAAGCTAGATATGAAACTAGAGAATTTTTTTCCAAGCCCTCTTCCCATCAATCAAAAGAAAAGGCTTTGAAAGAAAGTATGCACACGAAGTGAATGTTTGGGAGGGAGATATTCACCTTCATCAGCCTGCAAATATCTAATCCACATCTAGAGTTGGAAAGAGAATATGTGTAGTGGGTTATAGCCTGAATTTTCTTTGTTGCCTTTCACATACCTCTATTTTCTAATGTACTAGTCCAAATGAGAATTACCCAGCATAGAAATGCTGTATTCTTAAAATGACCAGGTACCTGACTGGTGATTTCCTAACTCCCTAGTAGTCTGTGCTGTATCTGATACATCAGATTCAAGAGACCTTGGATGGAGACATTGAGAGGTGGGGTTTTTTCATACTTCCTTGCAAAGCTGTAATGAGGAATTTTTTGACTGCTTCCACCTAACAGGGGAAAGATATTGATTGGCATTGACTTTGTCACTTATAAGGCACAGCGGTCCTCAAAGGTAAGTGATGTAGCAAGACCGAAGGGGAGCAGCCAGAATGAAGGAGGACTTCAAGTCATTTTGTCATATGAGGACGTTTTCTGTGCCCTCATCAAACAACCTAAGTACTAATATTTCTACTTTTTAGTTAGTAATCTTCGCTGTTGACCTTTCTGCATTATGCTCTATTTCACAATGAAAACCATAAAAATTAATCACCTTCCCTCTCGTAATTTTTCTGCTCAAGCAGTTCTACTTCAGAAATATGGCCAATGGGAATTAATGTATTTTTGAACAAACACGGAGTTGTTGATGAAGTCTGAAATATAATTCTACATATGCATAGTTGCAGACTCTTTTGGAAGAAGAAATTCAATTCCTGTCTTTTATTCATCCCCGTTTTCATCAGTGCTCTTTAAGTTATTGTTCCTCACCTAAAAAAAAAAAAAATCTGCAAATTATAAAAGGACAATTATTTGTCTTTCATTTCCATAGTGCCTAAGTGAAGCACAAAAGACTAATATATGATACTATGTGATATTTGTTTCTACTTCACAGGTAGAAGAACATTGTGTCTCTTTATTCTTCTATGTCTCTCATGCCTGTATTTCTTGGAAAAGGGAATTAGATTAGTTGCTGAGAATTTAATAGCTGTTGTGTTTTAAATTGACCAATTTTCACAAAATTTCATCAGTCCAAAGTGGTCTAAGCAGTTGAAAATAAATGTATTTTCCCTTTTCCAGTAGTGATCACTTTTTTCAGACTTTCATTCTCATTTTTGAGATGAAAGTAGAGTGGAAAGAACCACTGAGTCCATTACCAAACCCAGTGGTGTTTTTCCTTTGAAAATCATCATTTTGAGTACTTTGAAATCATAAAGCAGGTGATGTGATCTACTGTGTTTGTTCTTGCTGTGCCTGCTTGGCACAAGCTTCCTAAAAGTCTCAGGAGTTACTCTGCAGATGAATTTGTTCTGCAGGGGTCTTCCATTTACTTTGATTTATTGTGATCATTCAATGTGTATTCTCATTTGGATGGCCAGGGATTTACACACATAGCTTCCATTAACGCTAAAGGGTGATACCATTAAGACAAATGTACAGTTAATCTCTGGCACTGTGGAGATAAAAATATCCCTCAGAGAGTGCTCTGGCTGGGCTGGAAACATTCATTATCTGAGTTGCATTTCGCAGCATGAAGCACCTTTATAGGCTGCTTTCTAATTTTACTGCCCCTACCGTGTATTTCTTAGGGGGAAGGAGAAGAGAAAAAGGGGACCTATCCATCGGAGAGATGAAGGAAATAGAGATTGCTTCCTTCAAACCCCAGTGCACAGACAGTGTTTCACATGAATAGCAGAGATCAGATGATTTTTGATCTCTTTCCTGGATCATCATCATCATTTCAGAATTGCCTCAGAACACCAGGACACTTGCTACTTTTATTTTAGTAGTATCACAGTAGCCCTTGGAGATGGAGCTTCCTAATCTTTCCTCATGTCATGCCAACTAATAGACATATGAAACAAGAGATGATCCATAATCAGACCCTACAACAGACAAAGGAGTAGAGCCTGGTGTGAATCCAAATCTTAAGAGGCCAGAAGCATCTTTTCATTGCTCCTCATCTACCTATAGTTCAGCATGGTTTGACATCACTGGTGTTGAGTACTGCAGTGTGTTTGTCCCAGGTAAGTGTAGATACTTCACCACTATCAAGCAAAAGTATGCCCTGTCTTCTCCAGCAAATCATGGTCAGGGAGGTCTATCTCACAGTTCTTTTCTCAAGTCTTAAAATGAGTCTCTGCATGATAAAGTTCATTTCCATGCTTTCCTAACTGAAGAGATGTTATTTCTGACCTGTGAACCATCCTGCTGCAGAGCCCCCATAGCATGCCTAAAATGCCCAAAGGAAATGGTGAGGTGGACTTGTCCTGTTAGACCATCACAAGTAACAAGAAACTGAGGTAGTACAATGCAGAATAGCAAGGTATTTCCTCTTCTTTCATCTTTTTCTTCTTCCCTTCACAATTTCTCTGTGTCTCTTTTACAGCCAATAAAATTCATTGAAGCAAGCCAGAGGAAAACAGCTTGGATGTGTCTACATTAGAGGCTGGCACTAATTTTTTTCTCAATTGCTTAGTGAAGCCACTTATATCATCAGCATAGGCCCAGAGACACTTTGCTTTGGGCAGGAATTGTGCCTTTGGGTTTATTCTGTCTACAACTTTATTATTACATTGGACATTGTGACGCATCTTAAGTGGTTCCCTGTGCTCAGCTGTAACTGAAAATGGTGTTTAGATAGTCCACTAGGCTCTCTTGCTATGGTAATATGGATTCTGTATTTCAAACACCACTAAACAGTTTTCCATTTGGGCAGGTGATTCCAAGTATATAAATGCAAAATATCATTCAACAACCTGACCCAGCAAAACTCCTACAAATATTACAAGACTCCCAGAAAGTGCAGAAAATAAAATGTTCTATGTAAAGAGTGAATGAAAGCAGTGAGGAGGAGGAGGAGGCAGGGAGTTGTCATTTAATTGCTTTTAAGGCTTTTTGTCATCTTTTTCTCATATCCCCCCACCCTGCCCAAGACCAGAATATCCTGCATGTAACAGAATCTGTTCCGATTAGAAGGTTTTGTTACAGCTGTAATAAGCTTTCACACAGGAAAAGTCCCCTGAGACCTATATTTCATCTCAGCTTTCCCTACCGCATGAAACAGAGGGTTTGATTCTGGAAAGCAGAGATTGAAATTCCCTCCTCCCGCACTCAGCCCTGGAAAGTAATGAGAATTGACAATTCCAAGGCTTGCTGTGAAACTAGCGTGGTCTGGACAGAAACTGCCTCTGTGATAACAGGTTTGGGAATGTTTCCACTTTCATCTGTTTCTTTATTATTCTTATTTATTTTTCTTAGGCTTGTGATTTAGGGGAGAGATGGTGGGATGAGGAAAAAGAGGAAATAAAAAGGGAGTTGGTAGCTTGGCAGCACACAGCCTAAATCTAAACACCACACACACTATACCCTGGAAAAACCTGGACCCTATACAACAATTTCTGTAACACCATCACTTGGATAAACCAGCAACTTACTTGGAAAGAATCTTTGCTTTCCTAGAATTCATGTAAAGAAGAGATAAAATGACCTTGAGCGATGGCAGCTTTCCTTGTAAAATACATTAACTCTATCAGAGCAAGTCTTGCTGAAGATCCCCCTTCATCCATCCTGTGGTGAATCAGACAGGAAAACAGCTCTGACAAAATCCTGCCAGTGGGTCTTATGGCACTAACACCATCATGTTTCACCTCTGGCCTCAGCTGTAATGGCTTAAAATGGAGACTAAAAATTTCCAGTCAGCGTCATTTGTAGGCATTGACAAAAAATGCAAACTTGATTTGACCCATTTTTAGTCTTCCTCATTCAAATTATGACTTTGACACACTTTGTTGCCCTTTGAAATGAACTGGCAGTCCAGTTACCATGAGGTCTGTCCCAAAGTGGCAGTCCCTTGGATTGTTCTCCTGAACTATTTCTGTTCCCATGGTCCTGCAGTAATGATTTTTAAGAGGAAAATGAGGATTGAGAGAGTCAGGCAGCAGCCAGACAAATATGCTGTGAAACTGCCTCAGAAACTATCAGTTGTGTGAAGAGTAGAAATGACTGAGCATGGACTCTGAGGCATAATGTTATTTGGCTGGAGTTTCTGGTATTTAAAAATAATGTTCTCCCTGCTATAATTTTTCCCTTCAGAAGGTTTATTTTCCCTCTACCCTAGTTGCCTATTTTCCCAATACTGTAGGATAACAATACTTCTTTCCACCCTCTGTCAATTTTGATCAGTGAATAAATTCAATATTATTAGTGGGTGATTGGCAAATGGAGTGAATGGTAACTCCTGCTTGCTTGAAAAAGAGTATGTAAGAAAATTCAAAGTGGTCATGGAAGAACCTCTCTGGGATTAATTTTGAGAGGATAGATAAGAGGGGCCACTTGGGAGGGAGAAGTAGCAGCAGCTGAGGTTTGGATACTTTTTACTGGTTACTCTACACCCAGATGTTTTGCCTGTAAGAAAAATGTTTCATATTTCATATTTCAGCATATTTCTACAAATAGAGATTCTGACAGCTTTCACTTTTTTTCTCATTTTCAGATGTTGCTCTAAGACCAGGTGCTGCAAACCTTTTGGAATTAACTTCATGCAGACCCCTTTCCCAAAGCAGAGGTATTCCAGCTTTGATAAGACAACACTGACATTCACCTTCACTATTCAGTTTGTCACCCTTTTTGCTCAAAAATGAGGACTTTCATCCCTTTCTTGTACACAGGCCTGGGTTTCACCCAAAGCTGACTGTGTTTCACTGCCAGCCAGGCTGATCTAGTGGGATGAATGCTTTCTTCTGCTTCATCAAGGAAAAGGAACTTAAACGATCAGAACTTGCTGAGAAAATTCTCCATCTTTTCTATGCATTTCTCAGCTGTCATCACTCTGCAAAAGACCATTTAACACAACTTCAGCAAGACCTTTGAAAGAACAGCAGGGAAGAGTCTACCTGCTGAGCCCTTGTCCCCTGCTGAGCCTGTAGCTGGTTGGGAACAGAGCTGCTGCACCTTCATGCATTTCTTTGGAAAGAGGGAGCAGTGTTAAAATTAGAACTGGTAGTGGAAAAGCAGCAAGGAGCAGGAATTGCAGGGAAGGGGGAACAGATGTAGGTCTCCAATCACCTATTCTGTATTAGGGGTTTGCACGGCTGGGAAATGCAGAAATAGATGGTCTGTATACTCCTTTCCCTACTCCTTCAGTCCTAGGAGAAAGGTGAAAGAAACAGTTCTGCAAAGCAACAAAGTCGTGATTTAGCAAGGCCAGAAACTTGTGCAGCAGCTCTGCAAGGGCTCATGCAAACACACACACCTTTGGCTGCTGGAACCTGTTTGGCTGCCAGAGTGGACATGAGCCAGAAGACCAGGTCACCCAAAAAAGCCAAAAAATAATAAAGAGCCCCAGACCTACAACAACAAAAAACAAGAAATAGCACACAGTACTCCTCCAAAATAACAACAGAATCAGCCCCATGATGGACACATTGAAGATAAAGGAGCACCCACCAGGGATGTATTTGCCCTGGTGTAGTAAATTCACTTTTGGAAGAGTTGCCAGCAGGGATCTCAGATTAAAATCTCTCCTGCAGTAGGAAGCACCTCCAGGAGCTCAGCATCTCCCTTCCCTTCCCCACAGTATGAAGTACCATTCCAAGTCCCAGTGTGAGACTTGAACCTGCAGTGACCTCCTGAGCCCTGCAGTGAAGGATGCATGAGCCAATGAGTCATGTTGACTCTGGCTTGGATCTAAATGGGCCTCTTCTCTCATACCAGAGAAACCACGTTCACACAGCCACCGAAGTTGCCTGTATCGGATAACCCTCAGTGCAGGAGTTGGGTGGTGCTAGTTGCTGTCATCCTTGCCAGGAGGGAAGGGGTGAGCAATGGGGTGGGGATATCAAAACCCAGTTAATCCAGAAGTTACATCCTCTCTGTAATTTAGGGTGCAGGAGAAATTGTCATCCAGTTTGAATGGTAGAGACTAAACTAACCCTCTGGTTAATGAAAATGATGACTTCTCTTTCTCTGTGGGTGGTCTTTTATTTGAGTGAACAAGGGATTGTTCACTGCAAGGGATTGTTCAATACATCTTTTGAGATGTCACTTTTTACTTGCCTGTCCTGTACACAACCAAGTCACCTTCCAGGGCTTTTTTGTGACATCATGAAGGTACCTTTGGGCATTCCAAATTGCCTCCTGCTGTGGGGCAGATAGCGAAGTTGGTGGCTACTCTTGGCTCACCTTCTCCATGCTCCTTACAGATCTCCAGCTTCCAATCTCCACATCCCCTCTGCAGGCACTGCCTAAGTGAAACTGAAGAAAGGTGTGAGCAGACAATCTCCCACAGAAATCCTTGGAACTGAGAGTAGGAGTTTATGACCAAACTGGTGATACTCCTGTCGGGGAGGCAGCAACTTTCAGATGAGACCAAGTGAACCTCCCAGTCATAGATGCCATGAGAGGGTCTGTGACTCACTGAGAAAAAGGAGGGAAAGGTTATTTCCTGTCAGGATGCCAACTTGACACTATATAGTAGTGATTTTTACCCACTGCTGAAAAGCAGGCTACTCTCAGCTGGAAGGAGCAGCTGGTCAGCAGGACACTTAATCACACTTCACTTGAGGTGCTCAGATGGTTGAGAGTTTAATGCAAGATAATACTCCATGTCTGCGTAGAGCATTCTGTATCCAATTGTAAATACAGGCTGATGAATTCCAGTTACTCATGCTGATATTTGCCAGGACACTGACCATTTGAAACAGAGGTTATACTCTGCCTGATTCTCTCTATCTGCCTGATAACCAGCAGGATATTTGTGCTAGAATATTTTGCTTTTGCCTGCCCGCTTGTCTTTCTTTTGCAGCTGAACAAAGAGAGCATTGTTTTCATTATATCAAAACTGATTTAACATTGATGGGCTTAAATTACCAGCTATACATCAAGGGAAGTATATATCAGCCAGACCAACACCTACTTTTTCAGCTCCTGTACCCACCCATTTCCTGTCCCCCAGAAATATGTCAGCATCTACTCACAAGCCCTCTTGCAATTCTGAACCCTCCCTGATGCTCTCTGTTACTTATTGACATCCTTAATGGTCTGCAAGGGAATGCAAATTGGTATTGATAGGAAACCTGAGAAAGCAACAGAGAGATTTATCCATCATGAAAACACTAGTTTTTCCTTTCCTTATTCATATTGTGGTTCATTGGGCTGTCATGTAATGCAAATAACATTCATGGCATTAGCTTATACTTAAAATAAATGCTTCCTGTGGTTCTTACATATCTCCATTTCATCATATAGCACCTGAAAAAAAAAAAAAAAGGAAGGAAAAAACTTCATTGCCTCCTGTGCTCCACTGATGCATATGTTTATCCTGCAGACATGAGTGCGTGGGCTGCACAGCTGTAATTCTGGTTTCTGTGTACTGTGTCTTTAAGTATGAGTAGGCAGCCTGCCTGTAGGGCTGGGATGGTGCAAATCTGGAAAGGCATTCAAGAGAAAGGAGAAGGAGGTATCTTTTGCAATGTCATTCCTGTAGGAAAGCACAAGATAGAACAAATTCAATGGGAAGCAAACCCTTCAAGTGAAACCCAGGTTCAGTGTTTATCCAGAGCAAAAACAAACAAACAAAACAAAACAAAACAAAAAAATAAAAAAAAAAAGAAACAAAGAAACAAAAAAACCCCCCAGATAAATTTCCCCAGCTACCCAGCCAGGGCTGTTCTCTGAAGAAACCTCTGCTCCAAGAGCTGGCTCTGCTGAACAGCCAGTTGGATGACCCTGCCTAAGTCTGGCTGTTTATGTGGCCAGCAGCCCCATGGCAGAGCAGGGTGGCTAACACTGCACAGATCCTCTGGCCACTGACAGCCCAACTGGTGGGTCTCCAGTACACATTGCAGTCTCATTCTCCATGCTCACCTGCAGGAAGTACCAGGCTGGCTGGGGTTCCTTGTCTGCTCTCCCATCAAGCACACACTTCTCCCTTGTGCTGTGCAATTTCTTTAACCCACCAGTGTGAGGGAGTCCCATGCAGATGTTCTGAGACAAGTCTCCAAGGAAGTTAGTTCCACACCACAGAGCAAAGAGCAGTTTGAGAACAGAATTAAGCACCTATAGCTTATAGCTCCATCACTCTCTTGGCTGCAGCTCAAACTTAAAATGGCCTGTGCTTGGGTTTGAGACAGGCTGAACTTGGACTGACTCTTGATGGGATGGACCATAGCCTAAGGCATCATCTACAATTCCCACTTGTGCAGATGCACATGGACAAGAGCTTGGGCCCAGTTTAAGGCAATGAGCAAGTTCCTTCCCTGGCAGTCAGCCCGTGTCCGTGCCCACGCTCATGGGCCTGGGCCCATGCAAACATACCACAGTGCTTCCATAGACACTGTTCTGCAGCAGTTACACTCTTCTCCTCTTACTTTATATGATTTACAAACTCTCCATACCCATGCTATTATTTTCCTTTTTCCTTTTCTTTCCAAATGGAGAAGAAGGACTTGTCCAGAATCCAGCAGCAAGCCAACACCAGAACTGGGAGAGCAACCCAGCCCTTCTGACTCCAATGCCCCAGGCTTCGTCTGCTAGACAGGAGTGCTGGTCATGTTTGAATAATGACATTATCTCTGCTAGACTAGTCAAAGCCCAAAAGTGAGTAATTTTGTTCCATCATCCACTCCATAAGTTTCAATGGGTTGCTGCATATGTCTCCAGATGACTGGAGAAGTTACCTATAACACAGGATATTTTCTGTTCCAGTTATTGGGGCTTGGGGTAGGTTTACTTTGAAATCACAATTTTAAAAAAAATTATCAGATCCCTTGGGGCTGGTCGGCAAACATATTGCTGTCACTGCCACATGAATATTTGTTGCATGCACACATGGTCATTTCAAAGAAGCATTAGCAATAAAGGTAAAGAATATAGATCATATGCAAACTGGTTAGAAATGGATTGCTGTGGTGCTGTGCTCTACATAAGCCAGGAATGACATCAAAAGACTGCCTGGTCATGTTTGTTATATGAGATTTGGGCATATATTTGGAATCACTGCTCATACAGAGGTCAGCGAGGGACAGAAGACGCTAGCTGGTTTTGATTACTCAAAAAATAATGGTTTATTAATATGATTTAGGCGTATCCACAGGAGAAGACACAGATGTACTAGATTATTTAGTTGACTCAGTCAAATATTTAGTTGACTCTGTCAAAGAAGTGGCCAGAGTGTAAATCTCTCTGCTCCTTTCATCTCACACAGCAGGAATCAGAGTTGTGTGTTTGTCAACAGGGGACTGAAGCCATGAGTCAGCATTCAGCAAATGCTTCCAGTCCTCTACAAACAGTAACTTTACCACTTGGCAGTTTTAGATAACCTTCATGGGGGCAGAGAAATGCCAAATAATTTTATCTTGGAGCTTAAGGCTCCAGGAGCAGTGGTGGACATAAGTTTTTGGTGTTCCTTACCTAAAATAGCAGCATTTTATAGACTGTCTTCTTCAGATGAACCTATCCTGCCATTAGGACACACGAGATGTTGTATACCTGTTGTGTTCCTCAGCAGGCTCCTGAGGAACCTGTCCATAGGCAGGCAAAGTTAAGTTAGAATCTCTGCCTCCAGGACATCCATCTGAGCCATTGCGAAAGACTCAAATACAGGTGTGATTTCAGCTATGTTTGTCAAACTTTGTGACTTTGCAGAAGCTGCACCATGTTGGCTCCAAAACATTTTGAGGGTGAAAAGCTCAGAGATCTCACTGCCTCACAGCTACTACGTCACACATGGAGACTAAGTCTCTGCATTTTCACAGCTTTATGACTCTGATTTCTATTTGTGCTCATAAACAGAGAACCACACTTGGCCTGGTCTCCTGACAATGCTGAATTCCATTTTTCAGGTCATGTCTTAGGGATAGGTGAGGGTTTTTACACTTGTCTTTCACAGGTGACAATCACCTGTCAGCTCTCTAAGACACCTTTCTAAAGAAGTATACTCCACATGTCCACCTTTGCTTCCCTGAGAGGGTTCAAAGGCCAGCACATTTCAGAAGTGATAAGAGCTCTATCCAATGCTTGTGCTGTTATGGTTTGAATTCCCTCTCTTCAGCCAAATTTCTCAACTCCATTGTTTATTTATTATAATTCTCCCTGGTTCAACAATGGAGCTGGATCTTGCAGTAGGTCTTGCACAGCTTGAAAAGAAATTTTGAAAAGTTTGTTATTTTATGCACTGCAAAGAAAGCAGATCAAGACCTCTGTAGGTTCCTGGAGTCAGATTTTCCTTGTGCCAAGAGAAAAAAGAAAACACATTTAAAATTCTGCACTGTATGGCACCTGCTTTGAAAAGGAACATTGCTTATAAAAGCAGTCCCAAAATTTGCACCAATTTTTTCAAATTCCTGAAAAGACATTTCCTATACTACTTCAGTGAGTGATGGATCAGGGAGACAGAAAAGAGAAAAATGACACATTAATTTTGCTTGTTTTCAAAGACAAGAATCTTGTGGATAAAAAAATTTGTCCCTAGGATAAATCCAGGAACGAGGGAAAGCTCCTAGATAACGTTTTTTGCTAGTACACCCTCAAATCTGAGGAGAAAATATAAGAACATGGCACTATCAGCCTTGTAATGAGTCTGACGTGGCAGCCCCTTCTTGCATGGCATGACCTTGGTCTCTCACATGGGGCTGCACCTCAAGCTGACCTTTATGGGTGGGTCTGTGAAGAGAAGGGGAAATGGGTTTTGGAGTGCTTTACTTCAGAAACTGCCAGGCTAAATCCAGTTCATACCTAGAGGTGCTGAAAGTGATTAGCATCTGAGGGCTGCTCAGCAAATCACTGGTCTCCAGTTCCCTTCCTTTGAGATGACTGTACAAAAAACCACCTTTGCTGCTGGCACTAATTCAGATCTTTTCTGCCAGTATTAGGCCTGAGCTGCATGACCTGTTGTGCCAGTAAAAGCTGCCTTCTGTCAGCACAGCCAGTGTCCACATCCAATGCTGAGGCCTGGAAGGGGGTAAAACTTTGTCGTTCTCTTAAGTACTACCTAAAAAACGCCAACCCTTTCCTGGCACCATTCCACTGGTGCAGATGGTGGATGCTACATTTTCCCTGCCAGTTCAAACAACGCCAGAGCAAGTCTCCCATAATCCCACTGGGTCTTAACCATTTTCAAGGTCTGATCACATCTTTAAATTTCACTGCTTGGAGCAAATGAAAGCCTAGACACAAAGCTCTCGTCCATGCAGAGCCTGATCCCAGGTCCTGCTGTGCACTAACGTGTCTGTGTTTCCTCAGCAAGGGAAGCACTTAGCACAGCACAGAGAGGAGCCTGGGTCCCAAGTAAAATGTTTGCATCATAGACAGAATCTTACAGACCTGGCATGGTCCAGAGTGGGAGCAGAAATCAAGGCCTTCAAAGGGGCTGGGGCTGATCAGAACTCCAGGCCGGGTCTGTGTAGGTGGAAAGTGGGGACTGCGAATGACCATACTGTGTCAGCCTGAGGAAGAAAGACAAACCTTCCCTCTTTGGCAGCCCTGTTAACCTATCACTAGAGACGCTCACTGATACTGAAATTTAGAAACTATTTGCAAGCTTTCATAAACATCTTGTGTAAACTCCCCTGTCGAGTTCACAGAAGGCAATTGTTCTAGCTGCTTGTGGAACCTCAATGTTCTGCCTGTGCTAGAAGCTGAGGAAAAAATTTAGTCATTGACGGTCCTTCGTGACTTCATGCCTCACCCCGAGTGAAAAAATTACAGGTGGACAGGGAAAAACCAGTCTGACTAATCCTCTGGTGTGGGGTTCCCAGATCAGTGGGAAACACTATAAAGGGAAGAATGGAAATCCACTTCCAGAGATACTGAAAACATGAATGGGCAATGTACAGGAGTAGGAACAAGCATTCATTAGGGTGATATGGCTTAACATAAGCTTTGGGAGTGATATGTCTGAACATGAGCTTTGGGTTTCATCAAGTATTTTTCCTCTTGAAGAGATGATGTCTAAATAAGCAAGGATGAAACTCCTTTACTACCAGATGTCCAAGGCTGACTCTAACACAAAAAGCCGATTTAGCAAACTAGAACTGAGCTCTGAGATAGATGTCTCAGAAGCATTAGAATGCAGATATTGTCTCATTTTGAGAACACCAGCCTTTCCTCTTAAAACTTTTTCATATCCTGATGCAATCCTGAAAGTCTAAAAGCCCAGATAAAGAAATATATTTTAAAAATATAACAATTCTTCCCTCTGCCCATCCTGTTGGAAGGAGTTTCCTTTTCTAGAACGCTTGACACATCAGAGGATGGGAACTTGTGCATGCACAGTTAGGGTGGCAAATTTCTTGGCAGTTTTTTGTATTTCCAATGGGTTTGCACATTACAGTACATAGTTTTTCTACTGTTTCGACTTTTCCCCAACTCTGAATGTTTGTAAATTTCATTTTCTCTAATACTGTTACCCCATTTTGTACTTACAAGTTGTACATAGGGAAACAAAATGAGGAAGAAGAAATGTGTGTGAAATGTTCTTATTTCTGTGTAGAAAACAATTTTTCTCACCTGTGTCATGTTTTCTCCTCTGCCTGGACCAGCCAAGAGCTTCCTCCTAGGTCTCAGCAGGATACCAAACTTGCTTAAACACATGTGTGAGGCGAATCCTTTACTGTATGTGCATGTGTATAACCAAATGTTTGCAAGAGAGGCCACAAAGTGAGCACCATTTCAAAAGCCCCTGTTTGTCTTGGCATCTTTCCCCTCTCCATTTTTGTTAATTAGTTGACGAACTCTTGCTTGTGCCTGATGTCCTTCCAAATGAGAGGAGCCTTCAGCCAACTGTGCACCATTATTCAAACCTTCAGTTATTGCTCTGCAAAAGCCTCTTCAAAGCCCGGCCTGTTGCCCCTGTTTCTGTTTATCAAACAGCTGTGTTGAGGTTGGCTGCGTTCGGTCAAGTTCAAGGAGAGGAGCTGCCAAAATTGCGAGAGAGGGAGCAGGGGAAAGTGAAAATGCCTCTCACCTCACAGGGAGTGAGAAAAGGGAAAATGGCAGATGCTGGTCCAGGATGCTATAAATAACCAGTTTGGCACCACTGCACAAGAAACAGCTTGGCTAGCCCTCTCTTCTCTTCTCCTTTCCCACTGGGTTTATTATGTATTTAACCCTCTGCAGCATTTACTGAGGGAGGAGGCTGTGTCAGCCAGAAGACCTCTCTCCAGGTAACCCTTTGCACACCACATGTATCGCCACCATAAACACAAAAAACCAATGGACCTAGTCTAGATAAAGTCTCCTTGGCTTTCAAGTGTTTACTGATGCAACAAGCTCTCAAGCAGGATCACATCAAGTGTAAAATTAAGTAGAGGTTGAAAATTGTGTTTCAGCCCCTTGATTATAATAAATCCATTGAGATAAGTGAGTGGAGGGGAGGAAAAACAATCCGTCTTTTACCAAAGAGAATGTGTATTGACCCAGATGATGGGCAGACCTTATTGCAAGACACATGAAGATATTTCTTCAGCTTAGTTTCTGCAGGAAGTGTGCAAAAACCCCAAGAGTCTTTCTCTAGAAATGTGGACATTAGGAAGGGGCAGTAGCTCAGAGATATCCAAGTAGGGGAATGGAATTAACAATTAGAAGAACGCTGGGAAAGGGCCCAGGAAAACTTTTCAAGCTCTCTGGAGGTTTTGAATGTTTTGCCTGTTTTAAGATGCTCCAGTGTTTCCTCCAGTCTGCAGAGTGTTTCTTAGTTTTGAAAAAAATGCACTCACCTCCTCCACAGTGTAAAGAACTTTAAATCAAAAGAGATTAGTGTCATATCCAACAGTCCCTCTGAGCATAGATAAATGTGTTGTGTTTATCTGCCATTGGCACCAAGCTGGCCAGGCAGGGTGATTAATACCCTGAGGCTGAGGGATAAGCTCTGTCCTCCAGTCTTTGCCTCAGCTGTTTGTTGGGGAATAGAACCACAGAACGTGTGAAAGTAGAGACACAGCTGGTTTGCAGAGAGCTTCCTAGGCAGAATACACTTTGCAGCAGTTCAGGAGAGAGAAACATTTCATAGCAGACTCCTAAAAGGCAAGATTTTCAAGCAGCCCTTCTGGCAAAATCATTTGTTTCCTTTGCTTTTTCAAGAAACATCTTTCACAGTTTCCCCTCAGAACAGTTTTCTTCCATCTTTTCAAATAACCTAGACATCATCTGGATCCTTACTTCAGGGTCCAAGGCAAGGTTCCCAGCAGTGTTTCCATTTACTGACCTCTCTCTCTCCTTGTCAGCACTTTGGAGGGGTCTTCCCCAGGTCCCTTTGTTCCAGGTCTCCCTGACCTTGGCTGCCTCTTAACAAAGTCCTTGGACCATCAGTCACACACTCTCTTACTTGATTTGGCCAGCTCTCTTGTTTTCCACTCCCCTCTGGTATCCTTGTCAGTCTCCCAGATAGCACTCTGCCCCTCTCCATTTGTCTACCTTCAAAGCCTTTTGCGATACCTCTTTTCTAATCTCTTCAAAATCCCTCTCCCTGTGTTATTCTGTTCTGCACAAAATCTAGGCAACCACTGGAAATAATCATCTGCTCAGTTTACACCTGCCTTTCTCCTAGAGCAGGCTCTGTGCAAGTGACTGTATTTATTACCAGCAGGAAAAAAATGGTCCAAAATTTTAGGCACTTCCCTGGTTTCAAGGCGGAAGATACATGTTTCAGAGAACACCTATGTAAAAACATGTCAATTTGAAATACTCTCTGAATGTAGCCCTAGATTGCTTTCTCTGTCGTATTCAACAAGAACTTAATATTTATAAAAAACACAAGAATGACCAAGCTAAAGATCCCAGAACCTTAAATCCCATCTTTGAAGTTGGTCATAAGCTGAGGTTTACCAAAGGACTAAGAGAAAGAGAGGCCACACAGACTGTTTGTATCTTTGGATGTGCCCTTCAGCGACTGGTAGTGCAGGGACTGATGAAATAGCAATGAACCCCCTTCAGCTGAGTACATAGTGGAAAGCAACTAACCGCTAAAAATGCTCCCAGAATAGTGCTCTCCTAAATTAACAACTTACAGAGAATTTTTTCTCTTTTTGCGTCTTTTGGTAGTAGTTCATGAAGATAAGTTTATCTCAAGAAGTGCTTGATTGAAAGGAGGTTTGGAGAGACTTGAAGCTAGTATATGCACCTGATACAGAAGTGAGATATTCATGCCAGCTCAGGTGCCTGAGAGCAGGAGTGAAGGTTGTTCTAACAAGTTTCTTACAGCCCCTCCAATAATTCTGCCAGGACCTGGTCAGGTTTTCTCCAAAATATCTTGTTTGACTCAGAGGCAGACATGGTGAGAGCTGATCATTTGGCCACATAAGCTTACTGTTCCAGAATAATATCTAAAGGACCCTCTTTCTTAACTAAGCCATTTTATCTTATAAAGCTTTTCATATCCCTGTTTTGGTTTAGCTGCAGTGAAGACAACTGCTAAATTCAGAAATCTGACACTGAAATTTTCCCCTGAGCAGAAAATCAGGTGGCCATGCAAGGGGAAATTTTTTGTGCTGTGCCTTGCCTGAGCATCCACTATTTGCTTTTGGGGACACTCCCTCATTTTCTGGTTTCATCAGGAGTTTTCAGTAGCAAGCAGATTGCCTTAATTCAGATGTTTGTGGAATTGAACAGCAGAGAGAAAAATGCCAGGGCTCAGACCTTTCGCTTGAAAAAAGTGAAACTTCCTTTTGATATATTTCCCCTCAAAACATGGTATTTATTTAACAGGCTCCCTGACTGACTCTGGAAACCTGCTATTTTGACTCAAGAATTTTTCTCAGTGAATTATATTAGATAAATATAACCAAAGTGTGTGATTATGCTGGGTCGATTAACTCCTGATGTCAAAACAAAACCATTTCTTTGGCTCTATTTTCTCCAGCAATTTGTCACTGGTTTATGTTTAAAAAGCCCCTCCCTATGCCTGAGTGATGGAAACTTTGAAAATCCATTAAATCTTTCATCTGCAGTTAATTGTTCCTGATGTTGCACACTGCACCTATTCACAATCAGACTTTTTTCTCTGCAGACAAGGTGCTTTCTGCAGGACCTGCAGTTAGTGCAGCACTGTGTTTCTCTCAATGCTTTTCCTGCAGTGGTGGAACATGTATTACAAATTTCAATTTCAATCCCCTTTACTTTGCTGGAAGAGCCTGAGCTAAATCTTGCAATGTGCTGACTATCTTCAGCTCCTGCTGTCAGCAGGAGATCTCAGAGGAAGAGTGTGTGAATCATGCCTTTTCCTGTATTTTACAAGTTTTAAAACATGGTATTTAAACTCTGTTTCAGACATCTTATATGCTACCCCTGTCTTGTTTGTTCTTGTGTGAGATTAAAATAGCATTTCTGTCTCTCTTTTCCCTTAATTTTCCCCAGCATGTCTAGTAAGACAACTTCTGCATAGTGAATGGTTTTTTACTCTGAATACATTCTAGTGCCACAGTGGGATAGTCTTCCTAGAGAGTAATGGTCATACCTAGTAGCCATCAAGGACTGGTAAGTGCTACTACTTCAAAACCTCTGTAAAAGTGGCAAATATCATAATAAATACCAAACTATATTTCATATATTTCATATATGGTTTTTATATATGGAATTTAGTATTTCATATCTGGAGAAGGAAAAATGAAATTTTGTGCTTTTATTTTTTCTTAACTAGATAGTTTTGATATCTGCAATGTCAAATGTATGTGAGGCTGTGAAGGGTGAGAAATCAATTTGACTCAGTATTGCAGCAACCCCAAAATTCCAAAGAATGGTAAAGTGGATTAGTTATCTCCCCGGTTCTGTTTATTTCTAATCAGTAATTTGCTCTGAGCCCTATACTTTAGGCTCGATGATAAAAGTCCACCTCCGCAAAAGTTAATTTTATTTAAGAAAAGTTCCTGAAATTTGAGTAGGCCTTGGGTTAGCTGCTGGAACTTTGCCAGGCCTGACACAACCTACCTGCATTGTTTGTAGGCATTTCATTCTACAAAGAAACTGCCTGACAATGTTCGCATTGAGGAATAGAGAAGGAACAGCAGTAATACAAGATTGTGCTCAAAAACAGGAGACTTAAATGGACTTGAGTAAAGCAAAAGCTCATCCAAATTCCAAAGTCTCCTCACAGGCCACAGGGTGCCATCAGACGGCAACCACCTTCTGAAAGAAGGTTAAAGATGTTTGCAGACAGAGTCATTTTCTGCCACTGGCTGACAGAGGCAGAGAAAGGAGATTGCGGCAGAAGGAAGTGAGAAAGAAATTATACTTTGTCTCAGTCCTTTGACCTCAGAGATCTCAATGTAATTAAAGTGGGAATATGGTTCCCAGGGATTTTGGGAAATGAATAGTTGCCAAAGCAAATACTACCCCCATGACACCCTCCCTCCCTCCCTCCTTGTAAACAGTCTGTAATCGCTTCATAATAGGCTGCACCGACGGGAAATGGTGATTAATACTGTTTACCACTAAGAAACTCCTGTTGCTTTTTTACCCAGGAGTCATTAGATCCAGGTTATACTACGGATGTAGGGCTACCCTCCTTAGGAATCCCTACTCAGGGAGTGTACTGCCTTCCGTTAGTGCTCTGTGATGGGATTCAGGTGAATGAAGCAAGCAGGAGGAGGTTTCCTGCTCTCTGTGGCACTTCATAGCTCCACAAGGTCCTTAGAGATCAGTGAGCATTTGCAGGGGCAGAGGTGTGGGGCAGATAAAGCTCTTTCATTTGTTCAGTGCTTACCAGTGAAGATTCCATCTCTTCTGGTGTCTGTTGAAAACAATGACACAGAACATTTCTTAGCTGACATTGTAAACTGGGGAACTGGAACTAAAAGCCATTTTTTGGCAAAATATTTGAGTTAAAGAATGTAATAGATTCAAGAGGTTTTTGGGGTTTTTTTCTGTGGTAGGATTAAGCCCCTGTTAACTGAGCAATTTAGAGGCTGTGACTAGAGCCTTGTAGAACATAATCTTAGTGCCCTGAACAGACAGAGGGCAAATTTGCTCAAAAATCCCTTATAGTGCCAGTGCTCCTCCAGGCAAGTAAATTCCTGTTTCTATGTGTCATATCAGCCCTTAGGAAACACTCCCAAGCTGGGCCACTTGCTCTGTCTCATTTTTCCAAATCAGTAGGATTCAGGCTGAGCTCATGGAGAGAACCAAACAAATATGTTGTTGGAAACATCATCACAGACTCAGACAGGTTCCAGTCTGAGGCAGGACCCAGGAGCCCAGTCTTGATTTGTGCCCAAGCAACTGTGATGCCAATGGAAAGTATCCATCTGCTGGGACATTAATTGTAGTTGTCTGCTCAGTGAAACTCCTGCAAGTGTGTCCTGTGACAATGCTGAAATGTTTTTAAAGCTCTGGATGACCATTAGAACTCATAGTGTGTTACTTCCTTCATATCAGTAAATAACAAAATTTAATGGGGAAATCTCCCCTTTAGGCCCATAACTTCTCACTGAGAGTTAATAAATCTTATGATGGCAGCATTTCACCCTTGCAGTAACACGTGGGAAAATGGCCCACATAGTATCGTGTGCCATCTCCTCCTTCTCTCTCTTTCTTTTCTTTTTTTAAAATCTTTTTTATTGCCGTGTATGTGTGTGTGTGCGCGTGTGTGTGTGTGTGTGTGTGTGTGTGTGTGTGTGTACAAAAATGGTCCCAAATATCTTTTTTTCCCCACACCTTCTGTAGCACCTTTCTTAAATGATGCAATTGACTTGAGTCACAATAGGAGAGCAGCGGTGTGCAACATGATGAAATACATGCAAGATCAAAGCTGAGATGGTTCCGAGCCAGAGAGTGGGAATGTGGGTCTGAACTTTCCCAGAGTCTGAAGGAGCTGGTTCAGCCCATTGTGAAAGTTCTGGGTAGATTCCAGGTGCACATTTTCCTAAAATGTGGAGATATTGAGATCATTATCTCTCATTTGAACTTATTACAATGAAACGTCTTCTCTGTTCACTACTTCTGTAACTGGTTTCATGATTTTATTATACTTTTTAAAGAGACTTTTATGGCAGTGTGATATTTGCTTGAATGTGAATGGGAACATCATGTTTAAAGATTGATGATGCATAACACAAGGTGAAAAGGGGTTCATAACCTTACATGGGATCTTACTCCTCTCTGGCAGCTCCAAACAACACAGCAGTGTCTGCCCAGCAGATAACATTTCTTCCAGCAGCTGCTATGAGAGAGTGAATTCCTAAGGGGCAGTAAGCCAAATCCACCTCTGTGAATAACAACCTCTACCCGTTCATTAATGCATTATGTAATTAACATTGAGAATAACATTATGGGAATTAAACTTTTCTTAACGGTCTCCAGTGGAAGTTCTTCTCTTCATGGATTTATAGCTTTGTCAAAATTTAATTATTTGGACTGAAACTTTCCATGTTCATGCTCTGCCTCAGGCTGGCATTTTATTTTTTTTTTTTAGTGGGGGGGATTTTTTTTTGGTGTTTAGGGTTTTTTTTTGGGTAATTAATGTTTTAACAGTCTGGCCATTTCTGAAAAAGGAGATGGAGAAAAATAAATTACTCTTCTAAACCAGACATTTTTTCCCTAACTGTTTTTCTTGAAACAGTGTAAAATCTTAAGGCTTTCAGGAGGAAACCTGAGAGGGAATGAACTGGGAAAGAAGGAGGTGCTGTTATATTGGGTTTAAGCCCATGGGTATGGCAATGTGCATGTGGTCCAGACACCAAAGTCTCTGCACTTCTGAAAAGTGCCAGTCTGTACTATAAACTTTTTACATGCAAGGCAGATGAGTTTAAATCCTAAACAGAAGGGCATAACCACAAAAAACGCCAGCAGTATAGGTGGTCACAGCACTACTTGCTCTTTGAGCAAAGTATAGAAAAGTACAATGAGCTGCCAACCTCATGGAAGGTCATGGTTGTTAGTCTCAACTCCTCATTTTTTTCAGTTTTCCATTTAAGTCAGCCCAATATCATTGCCTGTGGAGACAGATAGAACCATTTACACATTAAAAAAATAAGATTTTAGAAAGGTTTTCTGAAAGATGTATACAAAGTTAGAACCCCTTTTAAGATAATATGCCTTTTAGAAATATTGCACACTAAATCTAAGTGATTGATTGTGCTGAGTGTACTGGCTTAAGCCACATTTCCTCCCAGAATCAGGAAGAGGAGCCAGGATTTTGAATTTCCATATATTTTTCCTGGCTATCAGAGACATGTATGTATCACATCTCCCTTTTACCATCTGTTCTTGTACAATAACAACACACTACCTCTGCCAGTTGCTCCTTCAGTTCCCATGGCAGATAGCAATGTACACCCAAAGGTAGCGGGATTTGGCTGATGCGTGAGGTTCATGCTCACCCCCCTATCCCCCCTTTTCCCTTACTAGTGTGAACTGACCTGGAGTAATTGAAGACCCAAGTCTACTGTAGGGTTGGCTCCAGCTTGTCAAGTTTGCCAGGCAGCATGGAGGAGGACTCTGAATCGCTCTCACATCCATCCTGTGTGACTTCCTCAGCATGTTATCCATGGGCTCCTCTTCCATGCTACTGGTTACCCACAGCCACTGTCTGAAAACCATAAGGAAGCCACTCCCAATACAGGCTTGTTCCCTCTGGTGTGTTTTCTTATAGGAAGACTTGAAATAGGAGAGGGAAGAGGATAATCCAGAATAATTCAAGAGCTCTTTTGTTAATGTGCTTATTTTGAAATATTTCTTCTCTTAAACATCCTAAATTCCTCAAACCTTACTCTCTGATAAAGCAAATGTTTGTAGTACCTGAAAATAGTTCTATGCCAATTTAGAGGGCTGGGACTAGAAAGGATCACACCTGATTCTTCCCATGATTTCCTGTCACAGTACCCAGTCGGTGGAGCTGAAACCTCATGAGAGGCCTGTCTGCAGATCTGCAGTGACAAGGGACAGTGCAGCTCTGGAGAGATGGTTGCACACTCAACATGTTCGCATTCCCCATGATATCAGTCAAGGCCTCTCACAACCAGGATGTTGTAGTCTCTAACCAGTCTCCAATCAGATTCTACTCTCAAAATTCTGCTGTGAGCAAAACAGGTGCAGCTGCTTTTTTTTTTTTTTTTTTTTTTTCCAAATTGATTACATCAATTTTTCACTTTATTATATGAAACCTAAGGAAAAGATAAAATGCACTAACTTCTGGTGACCTGGCAGTTGCAGCTCAACCATCTAAAATTAGAAATCAATGCTGGTTGTTTTGTATGGTTCCATGAGAAGATTTATGTCTTTATGTAGCCAGTGCTGATGGAATAAATTAAACTGGGCATGTAAAAGGAATAAAGATTTACTTTTGCATTTAAAAACTGGCTTCAATGCCTTATGGAGGAGTGTGGCAAATATTCCATAGACATGCAAATATATCACGCTAGCAAAGAAAGCCTGGGTAACTTGTCCTTAAAGCTGCGACATTTCACCCCAGTGCCCTCTCATTCCCAGAAAAGTCTTCTAAGCTGCTGGGGAAAAAAAAATGCCCAATGCAGAAAAAAAAAGCGAACTCTGATTCACAGACCATCAGATTTCAGAAATGTAGCTAAAATAAGACTCAGCCTCTATCCCATCCTTCTTCCAAGATGAACTATTATGCACCAGCCAAGGAAAAACTGGTTTTGATTTGCTCCAAAGTTTGCTTTCATGGGAGAAATGTGTTTGGTTGAAATCTAATTTTTGGGCCCATAGGGCCAGAGACGCTAGGAGGAGCATGCAGGCAGTGTATGGTGTTGGAAAACTGCTGTGACTTTCCTTGCAGATTCTCTGGCAGAGTCACCTAGACTGCACTGTGCTTACACCATGCAGGGCTTTTCAGTAAACATATTGGCATGCTGGTATTATTTTAATTTTAATTTTGAACAAGGGACTGCTCAAGGAAAGAGACTAGACTTAAACAGATCATCTTTCCTCCAAGCTTGCTGCCAGCAGGAAGAGAAGTTGGTTTTCATTCATGCCCATTTGGCAAGCCAGGTTTGTGACTTAGCCTAGATTATGTGTTCAGAGCTATGTACAGGATTTTAGTCATTCTTCTTGCACTGCTTGTACAGTATTGGTCACTTTTGCCCAGACATTCCCCAGGACATAAAAAGGACATCAATTTTCCAAAACCGTCAACATTCCAAAAAAAAAAAAAAAATCACCAGACAAATCAGGGAAAGGAGAAATTTAATACCCATGTCTTGCCCAAAAACCATAAAACAGCTGAAGGTATGGCAGGGGTTTTTTTTGCATTTTACATTAAGGGTCCATTCAGAAGTTTTGGTCCCATATAAGATTTGAACCTGAAACATGATGCCTCATGCAAGAATTTTTCTATTTGAGACTCTTTGTTGCAAATACGTTTCTTTGTCAATGATTCATAGCAGGTTCTTTCTTGGATGACTTGCATTTCTTTTTTTGCTTTCAAATGTATATATTGTGTGAGTCCAGCTGTGAAGTCATTGAAATAAATAGTTCTTTTCCCTTCTCTGTTCATGGGCAATTTGTCGCTGGGATTTATATCTGTTCTGATTGGGCAGCTTGGCCACATGATTAATTTTAAACCCACTCTTTGTTAGGTTCTTTCTAAATTTACTAATTTCCAGCCTGACACTGGTTTCATCCTTTCAACAGGTAAAAGAATGCCAAAACTTGCAGGTTTGGATAAGCAGAGGACTGAACACAAAGTCATTGGCAGGAACATTTAATGAGGAGCAAAGAGAAAAGGACTGAATCAAAGGGAAATTGCTGATTAATACCAAAGTGTATGCATAAAAATACATGTGCATGAGTCATCCACAAGAGAAAGAGAGACTCCAGATAAATCCAACTTGCTCTCTAAAAAGCGAAAAGTAGAAGGACTGTTCTGGAAAATAAACAATCATTTGGATGCATTCAGATCAATCTGACTCCCACCATCTGCTGAAACTTTGTGGGAAATGAATTAAATTCTCTTTCCTTACACCTTAATTTTGCAATCTTCCTGCTCATAATGCTGCTCCTTAGATCTGTAAAAAGAATGTAATCTGTGCTTAAGGACCAGGACCTGCCAATGCCCAGATCATCCATTTAGTGTCCTTGCTGAAGAAATAATAGGGACAAGCCAACCTGAGGCAGATTTTTGTCCCACTGGATAGCAAGATTATCACAAATTTTTGAAGATCACAAGAACTTTAGAGATAAAAGCAGAGGCTACAGCATGGGTGAACTAAAATCAGCTGAGTTTTAAAGCTGATATGAACTTGTCATTTACAAGCTTGCCCTACTAATAATAAAAAAGAAAAGTATACTGGAAGAACAGATAGATGCATCTACTACCTACACGCTACTTTCAAGCTCATTTAGTAGCGAAAGTGCCGAAAGACAGCTACAGAAAAATATTGTAATAACATGGTAATTTCTTATGAAAACTCTTAGGGAATCTGAGAAGGAAGTGGATAGCCAGGTTTGATGACTTTTAGACTGCTCAGGGAATTTGGAAATTTTGATCAAAATGGGCAGTCTCAGTCTTCCCATCAGTTATCTCACAATTCAATAAATGGTATCACTGGGGAGTGACATCAAAGCTAAAGGAAAGGCCATGTTCAAAGAAGAGTTCATGTGGTCACAATATCTTCTCCTTCTGCCTCTTCCCCAACAACTCAAATGGAAACTTTCATCAAATCTGGAGATGTCACCCTCCAGTGACACAATATCTTCAGTTGTAAGGTGACTGCACATATAATAGGATGCAAGAGACTAATAAAGACTCAGTTTTTGGGCAGCAGAGGTTCTCAGGCTTTATTCTGAGGTGAAGAAATATAAAAGGTGGTGCAAAAGTCAGGAGACAGGGACATGGTCTTGTTTACATGAGAAGCAAATACTAAATGTGATGATGAACTGAAGTGTCCATGACAGAACCTTTCTCATAAAGTCATCTTATTGACTATAATAAGTTCTCAGCAAGCCTCCAGAACTGCAATGAGTATTTGAGTGAGTATTTGAATAGAACATTTACATGGAGGCTTAATCTCCTTTTATGTGAGAATATAGTCATCTCAGAACAAGTTAAAGGAATGCATAACATACACGGCAAAGGGCACATTCTGATGTTCGTCCCAAGAATAAGCCTCACAAAATTACCAAGTGTCACTTTTCCTGTAATTTTCTTTGTTTTAATATTATTCCCTTTTCCCTTGAGCCATCCTTGAGCTGACATTAACGGGAAGCACTCCATTAACCTCCATGAAGCCAAGGCCTGCAAAGCTCTTAATCTGACAGTGTTGTACTTTACTATGGGGTGTAAATCAGCTTTAATGCCAGGACTGGAGGCACTGTAATCTAAGCCTGGAAAAGTTCAAAGGGTGTTGCAGTGCATGTAAAATCTATATGAAATAGAAGAATACTTTTTCCCCTGAAGAAAAGAAAATGCTTTATTGGTTAAGCACTCTGATGTTCTCTTGGAAAGGCTGGTGGTGGTTTTTCCTTTTTTAAAAAAGGGAAAAAAACAAGTACAAATTACTTCTGCTAGGAAATACCAGCCAATAATTGGTAGATGTAATTCTGCAAAGTGTTAGTGGTGAAATCTTTCTGCAGGATTCATCAGGCCAGTTTTGAGGCCAGTTTCTTCCGGGTAACCCAACCAAATCCCACAGCACAATGCTGCAAACCATTCAGCCTGTCTCCTGTCTCCTGCCTCAGATGCTGGCTTTCATAGGAAAGTGTTTTACTTCTCTCACCCATCTTATAAACTCAGCTCCTGCCATTAAATGGCCAAAATGGTTTTGAGATGTTCCATTAAAGCCTAAAGCCACTGACCTCAGTGCTACTGAATTTCAGGCAAGATGTCCCTTCTGGTTTCACCTCTCTGGAGCAGTCTAAGCACAGAGGCTGTAATTGTGGGTTACAGGCATAGAAACAGCACAGAAGCAGATCCTTGCAGAAGGGAGGCTTTGAATGTGAGAGGGAGGGAAATGTCTGGATTGAACTTGATTTTAATTTTTATAGCTGGCACCAAAGTATATTTGGGTTCTTTTATTCTCTTATAAAGACTCCATTTGTCCACTGAGTGGGGGGGAGGAAGAGAGATAACGAGTGACTTGGAACATCAGCACTACAAGTTTGAAAGAAATGGTGTCCAGCCCCATTTTAGAATGGCTGTTCTAAAGAAATGCTGCAAAGGATTAGCTTTGATATTTTAGACTTCCAGGGAGGAAACCAAATTAGCATCAGAAAGGAAGATGTGTGGGTTGCCTCAAGTACAACTGATGGGTTTAATGTTAACATTATGAGAGTCATGCCAGAAATTTTCACTGCCACAGAAACCCAACAGCAGGAATAGGTAGGTGCCCAGGAAAATGGCACTGAGAAATGAACTGGAGTCCAGATGGCTCTTCCAAAAGAGAGACTGGGAAATCATCCTGGCAAAATACAGTCCCTGTCTTTGCTGCCTCTTTACAGACAGGGCTACAACTAAAAATCAATGCAATTAGCTGGATGACCTAGAAAAAGGCAGAGAGAGCCTCTCTTTTCAGAGAGTTTCTTGTGGTTGGACCAAAGTCCCATTCAGGAGAAGCATCCAGCAAGAATTTCACAGCTTACTGAAAAGTGGTTCAATGCAATGTGGTTGAATTGAATGCAATGTTTCACATTAGTCCTGTGCTCAATTGGAGCCAATCACTTTCCACCCAGTGACTCCAGGGAGTGCCTAAATTAACGAGGTAGTGAATCTTGATTGGGATTCTAAGGGATGGGACCCACACAACACAAAGTAGCGTTCAAAATGCTGAATTTCTTAAAATCTGTGTCATGAATGTTAATGACACAATACGACAGAATAACTTTCCACTACCTGTGTTCTCAAAGACCCACAGTTCAGATAAATGTTTCCAATTATGGCAGCACCCACAGGGTTAAGATGCCAGTCATCCCAGAGTTATTTGTAGCCCTGAATAATTTCCCTCTTTTGAGAACTATTCTTTCTCTTTCATAGTCTGGCATAAAAAGCCCAGCATCTAGACCCCAATCTCTGCTGTCCAAAAAACCCCCTAATTCCTTGCCTTTGTTTCCCTTCATGGTCTCATCAACTCATACTCTTTTGCCCAGCCAAGAAGGCACACACAAATGAGACATAAGGGAGCCTACTGTAACAAGACCCCATGAATCTCTGATCCCTAAAGAGCTTTAAAGCCATTTTCCCTCCTCCAGGGACTCAAACGCAGCATCTCCAAAAAGCACTTAGCCTCTGCCAGCCTAGGTCCTGGGAACTTGAGTTTATTCACAAACTCACATGTTCCAGTTGACAGCATTAAGCAGTGGCTGCCAAGCTAACAGGCCAATGAGTGAATGTTTTTTATTAAAAATAAATAATGTTTTTAAAGAAAAACTCAGTGAATTATCTCTTCACCTTTGAAATAGGATGGATATCAGGTCTCTGTGTTGGAATTCACTATTTACCTGTTGGACCTTTAAAAATCGACACAAATCACTCCTCTGCTTTAATGTCTTTGATGTTTTTTGATTTTTCTCTCCTAATGGGTATAGAAGAGAAAACTTTCTGTTTTTCCATAAACTCTAGAGAATTGTTTTTAAGTTTGAGTACAGTAATGCAGATAGGTTTCTAAGATACGTGCTTCAAATACACGTTAATGTTCTTATTTGAACGCCTACAAAGTTGGCCTGATATATAAAGATACAAGATGTACTGATACATGTGCCAGTTGTGTTTGATACAAATCTGGAAATCAAGCTGCAAGCATTTTGTTTTGAATCTCTGGGCCAAAATGTAAAGACCTTATACCTAGGTGCAAATGAAGTCTGTTTCCATTCAAGTCTTTTTTAAGTACTTTTTTCTTATTAAGCCACTAAGAGTAATCTCAGACAATAAAAAAAATGTAATTTACCTGAATAGGGTTTTGCAGTGGTAATTTAAGAACCTGAACCAAATTTCAACACATGAATAGGAGAAAGAATGGGTTTTACTTAAATGAAGGGTTTTGGTTAGTCTTAAACTGAAAATTTGAATTAAAAGGTGAGCATTTTTCTAAAAAATAAATCCTTACCAATTATATGTTTTTAATAATTTTTGAGAAATGTTTTAAGTTATAGTTTCTGGTCATTCAAAGCATTTTGCTTTAAGAACATCTAAAATACTTTTTTTTTTTACTTTGCAACCAAGCAGGTACCTGCTGAGAAAGCTGTCTGTTTGTCCCCACTGCATCCAAAGGAGCTGGATTTTTCCTTCCTGTGAGATTCTAGCCCAGGCTTTCCTGAAAAAAGTGATCCTGGTAATGTAGAGAGGAAACAAAAAGCTTTATAAAAAAGTTTCTGCAATTTTTTCTTGCTGACTGTAACATGTAGTAGAGTTTTTAAAGGGCCTTTAAAGAAAGTCATTCAACCAGGTTTGCTGTGTCACTTTCCACTTCATGAGTTTTTTTCAGAAGTCTGAGAACAGCTGGGTAAAACATAGGAGTGAGTTTTGAAAAATGTGTAACACAGCACAAGAAGGAAACATCTTTGCCATCCAGTCCTGAACTCATAATTTAGCTAATCTTACCCTGTTTGGAAGTTTTCAGACAAGGTATGACCTTAGCCAAATTTCACCTACAGCCCCCTTTGTACCAGCACAAAAACTAAACAACTCTTGCACATTCAGCATGCTCACAAACCTCCCAGGAGTTTCAGAATAAGCAGCACAGATGAGAAAACAGATCCTTGTATATTAAACTGTTATTTTGAAGTGATCTGGTAAAACTGTGGTGGAGCTGAAGACTGATGTAGGATTTCTGAAATCTTAGGGCTAAACATAAAGGGCAGAGTGATTGGTGCTGGAGAAGATGTTCTTGAACTGATGTTGTCAAGATCAAATCAGTGTTCTGCAGTTTAACTTCCAATCAAATGTTACTGAGTGCATTGTGTGGGGGTGTATGTACTGTATAGATGTAACGCATATGCATAAACATGACAGATTTCTAATTACTAACTTCCTACTTCCTTAAGCAGTTTGGGACCGTTCACTGTGAAGAGGAAGGACAGAGTTTGAAGCCAAGTTAGGTTTTCTTCAGTTAATATGACTGTATAAGGTTTTCAAGCTACAGAGCTGGGGTAAGACCTAGAAGTTGCCCAAAGACTGCAGAGGCCTTCCTAAAGGCCTTCCTAAAAAAGAGAGAAAGAACAGGCAAGGAACAATAATGTCAACAT